ACCAATCAATCCCTGCAAACCAGAACTTTAAAGTCTATATATATTATAATAGGGGGAAACAGTATAATAATAATAATTATTATTGTTCCCTTCGATTCCTAGTGGAACATAGGGCTTCAACTGCACGTCTCCACTTGCTTCTATCTTCTGCAGTACTTTTCACTTGCATCCATGTTAGTCCATACTGTTTCAACTCCTCTTCACACGATCTCCTCCATGTCACACTGGGACGTCCCATTCGCCGCTTCCCTTTCGCGTTCCACTCGAGCGATGGCCTGACTCACGATGTCACCCAGCGGCCTCCTCAGCGAGTGAGTGTCCAATCCATCTCCACTTTCTCCTGCATATTTGTTGGTTGGCGATTGGTTCTTGTTTTGTTTGTTCCCATAGTTTCTTGTGAGTGATTCTTTCCGGCCGGCGATCTGATCTTCAGTATAGAACGAAGACAGTTGTTGATAAAGGTCTGCAACAGGCTGCTGGAAATATTCTTCGTGACCAACCAAGTTTCTGATCCGTATAGAAGAACTGACTGACTTGACGTTTGTATTGAAAATCCGAATTTTGTTGTTGATGGTGAGTGACGAAGATTTCCAGATTGGTTTCAGGTTGATGAATGTGTTTCTCGCCTTCGCGATTCTCGCTCGATTTGACATCCTCGTCCGTTCCTCCTGTAGTTGAGACCAAGCTCCCTAGGTAAGTGAAAGAAGTAACCTCTTTCAAATCCCTCCCGTGGATGGTGATTGGCGCTGGATGTTGCTGCTGTTGTTGTTGTTGGTTAGTTGGTTATTTTCATAACCTCCGTCTTGTCTATGTTCACCTGGAGTCCTGTCTTCTCTGGCTGCTTCTTCGACCAGTATGTCGGTTTCCGCTTGTAAGTATACGAGTTTGTGTGACATCAAACGTAAATCTTCCGCGAAATCCAGGTCGTCTAGATTCTTGACGTCGGTCCAGGATATCCCTGTCTTCTCGTTTCCCACTGTCTGACGCATAATCCAGTCCACCACAATTAGGGATATCATTGGTGATAATAAGCACCCTTGTCTGACTCCTGTGTTTACTCCAAATGCTTCGCTGAGTTTTCCGTTGTGGATCACTTGACACGTGCCATTGCCGTACAGCTGTTGAATAAGGTTGATGAATATTTGGGAAAACAGTATTGGCTAACGACAATGTTCACTCTCTCTCCCACTATGTATGTACATATATACATATATCAGTTAGAGAACCACTGGAAGCCTGGGAGTGCTGAACAGCTGTTTCGTCCTAGTTTGGGACTCTTCAGCACTACGCACCCACCGGGATTCGAACCAAGGACCTTCTGGTTACAAGTCGAGCTCGTAGACCATTGAGCCACTGGGACCCGATCCAATACTTGAGAATATATATATATATCAGTCAGAAAACCACTGGAAAACGCGCTGGGAGTACTGGACATTTGTTTCGCCCGAGTCTAGGACTCCCTATTAGTACCACACCAATAAAGAGGGTTTGAAACCAGGAACTTCCAGTTACGAGGCGAGCTCGTACACCACCATACAGCCACTGGGACCCGACCAAATAGTCCATGAATTCCAACTCTTGCCAAATCGTAAATTGGCAAAAGTTGGAATTCATAGACAGGCCATTGGATTGCGTCCCAATGGCTGAATGGTGGTCTATGAGCTCACCTCGTAACTAGAAGGTCCTGGGGTTCGGAATTTGGCAGCGGGTGAATACCATTGAAGAGTCTCAAACTAGGCTGACGATGTCAATTCAAGGTCAAACTGGCAGCCAGTGAAATCCTTGCAAACCAACAGTTGATAAATACATATATATTCATATCGATAGAAAAAAAAAATCGATAGATTGGAGAATACACAGAAGAGATAGATGTATGCAAAAGATTACAGATGGACGATATAGCACGAGAGAGAAAAAATGATAACGCTAGACTAAACAAAATAATTTTTTCATAAAAACGAAAAAGAAAATTTATTTATTTAAATTTGGCACAACAGGGAAAGCATTTTTGCATGTTTGATTTGATTTAATATTTTTTTGTCTAACACTATGATTAATATATAGGAAAACAAAACAAAACAGTGTTCACTGGTTTTTCATGCCAATTTTTCACATTTTCAAATATTGGTGTGTATGTGTATATGTGTATAATCCACCCCCTGACACTTAGATAGATGTGTGTGTGTGTGTGATTACAGAATTCATTCCCTTTTGGCATATTCATCTTTACTGATTTCTGCATGGATGAAATTGTTTTGGTTTTTAATACTACGTCCTAATTGAACCCTGGAGAAGAGGGAGGTTTGGGGGGGGTGGAGGGACGGTAACAGAGAGTAGTAAACTAGGCACAGGTTTCATAGAACAGCAGCTTGTAAGCGGCGTGGAAATGAGTAGAGTTGTGGCTGAAGCACCCGCATAACTCCACTGATTTTCGGGGTTCAAACCTCGTTCGAAATGCCCCGGATTGGCATTCGGGTGAGGAAATAATAAAAGTATGGCTCATTTGATGATATTAGATGGTTGGATGCAATCGGCCACAGGAAGCCTTGGAGTTAGGTTTCGTGCTAGTTGGCTCTCGTCAGCAAGGCGTATCTGCAACCTTGAAGGAACTGATGTCCCTTCTGAGATCCGAACCCGCGTCACCCAGTGCAGTCTGCAATCAGAGACGTTACCACTGAGCTATTCGGGCTCGCGATTGACCTCCTGTAGGACTGTAGTGGATATTTTTGATTTGATACTGGTAACTATTGTGATGTGTCTAGTCCTCTCTTTGGTGCAGACTGAATTCTACCAGTCAGTCAAGTTTGCAATGTGGCCACCATTCTAGGTAGCTCGCCATCAGATACGCCTTGCTGACGAGTGCCAACTAGCACGAAACCTTGGTCAGGCAAGGCTTCCTGCCAATTGCCTCCAACCATCTAATATCATCAAATCAATGAGCACCGTGATGGCGAGCTACCTAGAATGGTGACCACATTACAACCTGACTGATAGAATTCAGTCTGCACCAAAGAGAGGACTAGACACATCACACTAGTTACTAGTGTCAAATCAAAAGTATGGCTCATTGCCAAAATGAGGAAAATTACAATTGTTTGGTGAGAGAGAGAGAGAGAGAAAGCTAATTATCGAGTACACACTATCAACTTCCTTCAGATTTCAGGACACAGGAAATGTCTATTTAGCAGCACATGATAAAGCCGTCATTCTCGGGATGAAGGTGGGGGGCATTTGATTTCATACACCAACGTATTTTATGACGTCCTCTTTCACTTAAAAGCACAAATGTCAATTAAATTCAATTAATAAAGGAAATATACTCGAATACCTTCGGTACCATGATGAGCTATTCTATGAGATGTGACCATGGTTTCTAGAGTTTCGAGGACTCTATCGAGGCAGTCTACACCTACCTAGGACACCACTCAAACCAACAGTCGAAGACTCACTTTTGGTTTGACTACCGCCTGAGTCTCTTCCAACCAAATCCAACGTCAGTTAATGTTGTTCGACGCCTAAGATAATGACTCCGCCCACGCAACAAATATCTTAGAACTTGAACCGTAGAACTAACTAATACTTGTAAATATGAAAACTTAAACCTATAGTGTTTATTGAGTGTTGTTTTGCAGGGATTTGATTGGCTGCAGGTTTGATCACGAGTTGTCATAGGTTAGAGAACGATCGAAAACCCGATGGCAGTACCAGAAAGTTGTTTCGGCCTAGTTTGAGACTCTTCAACAGTACTCACACACTGCCAGGGTTCAAACCCAGGAGCTATGAGCTCACAAGTAGTCAACCAAGGGTATCGACCAAGGGACGTGTGTAGTGCTCAGGATTTCGCTCCGTCCTTCTCTATGGCTCTGAAACATGGCCAATACGAGTTGAAAACATGAAAAGGTTGGCTGTTTTTCATCATTGACGTCTACGACGTCTACAAAGAGGGAAAATCAATCGAAGAGGCTATGAAGTTACATCGGTTGAGATGGCTAGGTCACGTGCCACGCATACCTAACCATTGCCTCCCCAGACGGACGGGCATTACTAGCTGATACAGGTAGGTGCAGGTTGGAAAAGAGTAAGTGGTGGCCAAACAAAAACATGGCCTCATCAATCCATGAAATCCTTGACAGTTAAACTGAGTCAGGTAGGGAGGGAGATGCAGACTTCCGGGTTGGGGCCCGCCCTCGGGACTCTAAGAATCAATGACTGGAGAAAATAGGTGACATGGCTCAAAATCGTTGTCAATGGCTTACGCAGATGTATTCAGTCTCTATAATCTTTCATATTCCTTTCTACCATTACTCATTCTGTTTCACTCTTATACTTGTCAAAACTCTATTGATTCTCTTCACTCATCTTCTTGTCTACCTTTGTGTGCTATTTGGAACGTGGCAACTTGAAGTACTGCACTTCGGTGGCAAGTTCTATGTTGAATCCAGACAGACAGACCATTAGTCAATATACTCCTAAAGTGCTATCCAATGTCATCTAAATAAATTAATATAATTTTCGTACACCATTATGTTTTCATCACTGTGTACAACTCGGATTGGAAGCGACGAAATGATATGGAAAAGATTCATGTAGAGATGAAATCAAAGATTGTGAACAACAGTCATGGAGCCAAGTGAATGTGTTGGCAGAGAATTGAGTACAATGAAGATGTGTCACTGAGCGTCTTTACTCCACTCGCAATAATCACTTATATATTCAACTTGAGTCTGTGGCGCAGCGGTAGAATACTCACCAACAACGCCATACGTGGTCCGGGGTTCGATCCCCAGCCACCGAGGCACTCCTCCCTTACCTCGCTTAACTAGAAATAAGACTTGTAAAGAGGTTAGGTTGGGCATGGGTTTAGCAACACCATCCCTTAAAAAGAAAATAAACACCACAGCTACAGAAACTTCAAGCCTCTCGCTTGAAACCAACCACCCTATGTTTCACTGGGAACGCGTAAAGGAATAAAAAGAAACAAAAATATATTTTCAACTTACCAGATAAATTTCCTTGCATATTCAATTGTTTTCCATTTAATCGCCAAACTGCTTCAATATTTATCTCCAATTTAGCCATACGTGCATTGATCTGTGTTAGAAGAGTTTGTGGCCGACCAGATTTATCCACTGGCCAACATGTTCCAGTGCCAGCAATTGGTGTTAGAATATTCACTTTAATTTGATCACCGAAATTTGAAAATTTTTTCAGATGAGGCCACCAACTCTGAAAATCGCCAATGTACATAAAAACAAACAACAAAGATAGATACATTAACTAGATTATGCATATTATAAAACTATAGAGGTTATGAATTTCCTGAAATACAGTCTGCCAAGTGCCAAGTCTAACTGTATCACTATAAAATTAATTAAAATAAAGTTGGCGTGTGAATAGAAATTCATAAAAATAATTTTTCTGATGGCTTCGCTGTTTAAATCCCAGCTTTTTCATCCCAAACATCCGGATTTTATTAAATATAAAAAATAATATTGTCTCTAGTTTTGACTTCTTCCTATTTCTCTACGTTTCCGGGGGAATATAATGCTTCAAGCTACAGATTTCAGGTTTCAGTAACGGGGTGGTTTATTTTTACGGAGTGAAATTGCTAGCCTCATGCCCTACCGTCCCTCTTTACCGATTTTATCACTGGCTTCACGAGATAAAGGGTTGCGCCGGCGATGGATAGAACCCTGGAGCAAATGAGTGTTTGGCGAACATTCTACCACTAAGCTACCGACACACCTAGTTTAGACAGATGTGTCAAATATGTTCGGTATGCCTTTTTTGATTACCGTCAACTTTGTACCTAGACCTTTTTTGTTTAGCAAGCTTTCTGTAACACAGGTGGAGTGTTGCTTTGGTAAGTGGACATATTCTTACTTTTCTGATAGGAAGCAGTATACTGGTATGCAGTGGTCAGTCCTCCACTGCTTCGCTTACTGTAGTTAGCGTTCCTCAAGGTGCTGTTTTTTCTCTTTTTCTGTTTCCTTTCTTCTTACATGACTTTGCCCCCCCCAATCTGATCAAGCTAATTTTGTGAAGTATGCTGATGACCTGACTGTTTCTAGTGGTCCTTTTCAAGTGGTACTAAGCTAAATCTCCCCCCCCCCAAAAAAAATTAGGTTGTTAATTTCACCTTGAGACGCAAGGGTGACTTACAAGAACTGGTTTCATTATCATAGATGCCATTGAAGTTAAAACTAAATAGAATGTTAAATACCTTGGACTGCAATTTTGTGTGATCGTTTCTAGTCTGCCAATATCATGTTAGTTTCTACAAAGATACTTCGTCTAACCCTCTACGAAAAGTGAGTGTACAACAACAAGGATTAATTTTTAATTTTTATGATTTCATGTTCTTCATTCTTTACGTTCCGCAGTTGGAACATAGGGGTTTCAAGCTTGCAAAGTTTCAAAGGCGGTGACAGTGTTTCTTTTCTCTATGCGTTGTGACGGACAACTATCAGCTTGTGAACGAGAATAAGTTAGGGAGTGTGTTGGCCAGTAATTGGATATTATTTCACTTTATTTTACTTAAAACACAAAATCTGGTACAGTATAGGCACCAAGAAGAAGCGCTACATAATAGTAATAAAAGAATATATGAAAACAAATAGGTAGAGAATGAGCAAGGACTTTATCTGGGAAGAAAGCAGTTAAATTTAACAAGGCCGAACAGCATTCGTCAATTATTGTCAGAAAGGGAAGGAAGAAGAAAGTTACAGCAAGCTCGCCATTGATGATTGCGATTCTTGGCCATACGCGATGGCTAACATTTCGGGCCACCTATTCAACCTATCTCGCGAACTCCAACCAGGGAGTCGTGAAACATCAACCGATGCTAACCTAACATAAATATCCTTCATTCTACGACGACATTTCATATTACGTTGACCACCTCTCCACTTTTTCCATACAGTCCCAGGTCTGGCTAGCGAACCAAGTCCAGTGAGGAAGCCTCTGGGATGACATTCGTAGCATATGTCCACCAAGCCGACGAAGCCGGTGTTTCCAGATGACGACGCTCAATGAATAGTGATCTCCACTCACATGATGATCCCATAGAACGCAAGCAATTCTACGGAGACAAAGATGGTCGAATATGCAGAGTCACCTCAAATCCTCAACTTGGAGAGGCCAAGTTTCACAGGTGCTTAGCAAGAGAGCAGGTACCGAAGCATTGGAAACCTGACCTTTAACAGCCAGACTAACGTTGCAACGGCACCAGAGGTGGCACAAATTAGCGTATGCCACCCTACGTTTCATGATACAATTGGAAATCTCGTCCATCTCACCTCCTCCGGCAGCCAAACACAGATACCCAGATAGATATACACGAACTTATCGACAACTTCAAGCAGTTCACCTGCAGCAAGACTGAGTGCAGGCACATGCTCCTTCCAATCCTGTAACAGTACTTTGCACTTGGACAGATACCATACCTACATACTTACACTAGAATTGAACAAAGACACATTCTGAGTGGCTAGAGAACATTCCAGCATTGAATCACCGACTTATTGTCTTAAGACTGAGGGAACTTAAAAATGACAGCATTCAAAGGAAACCATGTTAAAGCTGGTCAAATCAGTAATATTATAAATAATTCTTCATTTTGAAGGAGAAAGGATAAATTAAGAGTTGAATTAGTCAGATATTTTGCCCTATAAGAAAGTAGCTTTTCTCATGAAAGAAATTACTGATCCAGTGAAACGAATTTATTTATTCATTAGGAAATAAGGAATAGAAAAGATATGCGTAAGTCTCACTCCAACTACTTAATAGCTTTGATATATAAGTAGTATTATAACTTCACACACACGACAAGTGTAACTGTTAGCCACAGGATAGATCTTTATCTATCCCGTGTTATTGTTATTGTTGTTGTTGGAGCTGAATTACCCGGAACATAATAATAATAATATCTATGCACCTTTTCCTCATTACTACGATTATTGTTATTATTATTCTCACTTTCGCACTGTTCCCACTTGTCATTCTAAATCAAAACATTTTTTCGCAATGTTAAATTCCATTTATCTTGTCGAGATTTCATACCATGTTATGTAATATCTTTATTTTATTTGTCTACTATTAATCGTTCTATGGGTCAGCACTATTATTATTATGCATTTTACATATATATAATATTATTTACATTGCCATGTCAATTTTTATTATGGGTTCTAATACATTTTTGAATAAAATATAGCGAGCAGTTGTTCAATAGTAACGCTTTCCACCTGCAGGAAAGGACATATCTCCAGGATGGTTTATTTATTCCTTTACGTTCCCAGTGGAACATAGGGCCTCAAGCCTCTAGCTTGAAGTTTCTGTAGCAGTGGTGATTATTTTCACGGGATGGGGTTGCTTACTCCATGTCCAACCTTCCCTCTTTACCAATCTTATTACTGGCTTAGCGAGGTAAGGGAGGAGTGCGTCGGTGACCGGGGATCGAACCTCGGACCACATACGTGGTCGGCCAGCATTCTACCGCCGTGCCACCGACGGACAAGGAAAGGAAGGAAGAAAGGTACAGTGTGCGAAGCTCTATTCTAGAACACAATTGATCGAATTCTGTCACTCTACATATAACCCTGACCATGATTTTAAGATTATCATCTATTGAATTCATGCTAACTTGCTGACCGCGTTTTTTTCGTTCTTCTAAACACAACAGAGGCGCCTTGTCCATTCATGAATATAAGTCAGACACCGTTGTGTACAAAAGAAGTATGTACAATCCCTATTTCTGTTTTAGCCGTAGAAGGATAGACATTTATTCATTTATTTTTGTTTATTTAGTTAATCCCGGACCGACTACTGCTACCTTGACGTGATGGTAGGGCTTGCATATCGCAAAGACCCAACAAGCCACAATGACTGGAACTATTGTTCCTGTAGGTCCTACCAGGTCAGGAAAGTTCCTAGGATAGCGATTAGACTGAAAGCAGTTACCGGCATTGCACAATAATTTTTTTACACTATGTTGGGAGCGTGTGGGCAAAGTCATGCTGCTGGAGAACAGGGCCGTAACAGCATTGAGGTGTTTCCCTCAGATGAACAGCATGCCAGCTATACTGCCTTTCCACTCTGGAGGAGGCGGGTTAGAAAAGGTCGAACCCAACAACTGTACATCCCGACTTACCCTACGGTGGTCCGTCATCGGCGGTAAGTTTACTAATACATAACCAATACAAGAAACCAGTTCATACAGGCTATGTATGACCGGCCTCAAGCAGTTGTCCCCTGGACTCTGTGGTCACGCAACACTAATACTGTTTCTGTTTCAGGTATCCGAAGAATCAATCAACTTCCACGGTGTGGGCAACGGGGAAGTAACAACCTCCCACACACTTCCAAAAGCACACTACTTAGTTAATCGATGTGCCTTCCCCTCGTTACTACGATTATTATTATATTGTTTTTACGAGTTTGACCACGGATTGATATCAGTTAGTGAACCGTTGAAAACCAGCAGGGAGTACTGGACAGCTGTTTCATCCTAGTTTGAGAAAAGTCGGCAGTACGCAACCCCCGCTAGGGGTCGAACTGAAGACCTTCCGGTTACAAAGCAAGCTCGTATTCTATTCAGTCACTTGGACCCGATTCAATGGTCACAACATGAATTCTAACTTCTACCGATTCGTGATACTTAGCGCGACTGGCACCAACCAATATCATTGGCAGGGTATCCATCGTCACACCCTTGACTGGATGGACCTCACTGGTCACGACTTCTCACTAGAACTCCGACAATCCGTCCTGTAGAAAGTCACTAGCGAGCATCAGATTAATTAATCCTTATAAACCAAATCTTGAAAATTATTATTATTATTGTTACTCTGACTATTCTCACTTTGAAATGTTTCCACAGTATCATTTCACTTGTCCCACTTGTCATTGCAAATTAGAAATTTGTTTTACAATGTTGCAGTGTTCTATCTATCTTATCAAAATTTCACACCATGTTATTTAACGTTTCCACTTTATTTGCCTACTAATCCTATAATTATACACCCATTGCCAAACATCTAAATATACACATCCATTTTATGAATTATTCTATTTATGACATTAATAAGTTTTACTACTTGACAATAGATATGGGATTATGATTATAATCATAATATATTTTAATTGCATTTCACACTACTACTATTATTATTATTATTTCCTCAAGGGATATCATTTCTTAATATAAAAAAATCCTTTATTCGGGTGAAATGGATGGGTGGGTGGAT